GGATGTATTAAGAGTAGTAAAAGGCAAAAGCATGATACTAAAAGGAATAACAGAGATTTAGCACAGCTTTCCCATATTAAGAAATCTAAAACAAGCTGACTTAATATTTAACAAAATCAAGTAGCGTTCCTATCATCTTTCCTGTTAAAAACATGTGAAGCTTTTCAAATTTCTCCATTTCTGTTGTGGCACGATCCATGATCAATGTTAACTGGCAGTATAAACCTCTGCAAGCTTATGTTAAATTAAGCAAGCAAAAAAGGTCAATGCAATCTTCTACAGAGCCATCATAAGATAAAGCAAGGAGGTAACATTTCTAGTCCAGCCTTACCTAGATTGTGCTATTCCTGCATAAATTGAAGAAAAAATGGAGAGCTCACAGAGATTATCTCAGATAGTCAGAAAGAAGTGATGGAGTGAGAATTAACGCAAAAGGATTATGAGAGTTAAACATATATTAAGTAAAGTGGTTACTGGTATTTTAAAAAAGGTGAAGAGAGAGAGCATAGTAAGAATGAAAAGAAAAAAGGAATCATCATTATCAGGAGAAACAAATATTCAAACATAGTGTAAATACCAGAAGATGTGGGAGGTACAAAAAAAACCAAACCTGCAACATAAATCGGAATTACTTAAGAATTACTTTTGAAAACTATAGCAAAACATAGAAGTAGACATTATGAAAAAATATAAATTGTTTAGGCTAAAAATAGTATTCTTCAACTTGTACTTCCTAAGTGATCTTAAAACTGAAATAATGAAATCACTTATCGTTCCATACAAAGTATATATTTTTCTCAGTTAGCTAAGCTGTGCTGTGAGGACAGAATAAAATCTGAGTCTGGGGCCAATATGGTGTGTGCAAACTGACATACTATATTTATAAATACATTTATATCGGTGGTAGGTGGACTGTTGACATAAATGATCTTGGAGGCCTTTTCCAACTTTAGTGATTATGTGGTTCAAACCACAGATGTTCTGTGGGCCAATCTATATCACTTAATTAGCCTTGAAGTGCTTACTTAAAAACAAACAAACAGGATGTTCCTGGAGTATGTGGAAAATAACTTCCTGAAACAGCTGGTAAGAGAACCTATCAGTGAAAACACCCCCTTAGGCCTGCTGTTTACAAACAGAGAAGGACTGGTGGGTAACATGGTGGCTAGAAGTTGTGGCATAGCAACCACAAAATGATAGAGTTCCCTGTTATTGCTAGAGACTGGAGGAGGGCCAGCAAAACTTGGGCTTTGGAGGATAGACTTTGAAAAAAGGAAGCGATTGTCTCCCAGTACTTAGCACTGCTGAGGCTGTACATCTGGTAGTGCATGCAGCTTTGGACCCCTTGCCACAGAAAACACATTTAGACCCTAGTATGTCCAGAAAAGGGCAGTGAAGCTGTGAGGGATCTGGAGCACAAGTCTTACAGGAAACAGCTGAGGTAACTTGAATTTTTCAGTGTAGAAAAGAGGAAACTCAAGGGAGACCTTATAGCTCTCTACAACAACCTGAAAGGAGGTTGTGGTAAGTGGGGGTTGGCCTCTTCTCCCATACAACACCATTGGAATGAGAAGTAGTGGTCTCAAGCTGTGCTGGAAAAAGTTTGGATTAAATAATAAGGAAAAAGTTATTTTCTGAAAATGCAGTACTTTATTGTAACAAGCTGCCCAGGGTGGAGTAACCATCCTTGCAGATTTTCAAGAAACCTGTAGATGTGGCAAAAAGGAACATGGCTTGTTGGACATGGTGGAGATGGGTTGACAGACTCTATGGTCTTAGAGGTCTTTTCCAGCCATACCAACTCTGTGATTCTATGAAACACACACACACACAGCTACCTTTGATCATATTAATTAGTTACTATCTTAAACCAATATAAGTTAGCAAATTCTGTTTGCAGTACAAATCATCCTAGTGAAAAATTATGTGAAAGATTCTTTTTTTACTGTAGATGTTTTGTTATTCTCAGGACAAGTATCAAGCCTCCTTATCTGCATGATTGCAGAGATTTCTTAACAGTTAACTTAAAGGACACTCTGAGCTTACTGAAAAAGTTGAGTGAAAGTCACCTGGAAATTATAGGGTCTCCAATGCACTCAAAATTAGAGGTCACCAATATTTACATGTACTGTTTAAAACAAAATTTTTTTTATCATAAATTAGGAGTGCGGATATTGCTTTGTGCTTTACTGAACAGTGAACTGTGCCTTTATATAAATGCTAGTCTCTTTTTGTTATTGCAGCATATGTCCTCTCGCTTATTAAAAGTCTGTCTAAAATGAATAGGGGAGGAGGATTAATTTAGATATTTCAGTCTGTAAATTTTAGCAGCATATTAGGATAGATCCTGAATTATGAAACAAAGCAATACTGGGAGATAGAAACTCTGCAAAACCCCATCCTAATTTTATATTCCTCACAGGTCCAAAAGCCTCCTCCACTGTGTGCTAAAAGATGGCTGTCAATCAGAATGATTAAGCTCTCCTGCATCATATCAAACACAATGCTCTTCATAATTTCAATTGGAAACACCTGATCTGATAAATCATTCCCTTATAGGATGCCATATATATCAATTCAGTAAGTCCACAGATGTAGGACAGACTAAAAAAAAGTTTGTCGGGTATCTTCACACAAAAAGAAGAAATAAAAAAAGGTTTAAAAGATTCATTAAAAAGACAAAAGAAATTTTCATGCTACAGGCAGGTGTAGATACAGTGAGAATGAGCATTACTTACCTTTCCATAGAACTGCATAGCCTGAGCTTTCATGCTTCTGTTATTGCTAAAAAAAGTGTTGTGGAAATGCCATGAGTTGAGGTCTCTGGTGGAACAATCTGGTATATTCTGAATTTTAAGTAATTTGCCTTCTTATACTCATTTATAGCTAAGGAGGTTGAAGTGAAAACATTACTTTGAATTAGAGAAAGAAAAGAGCACAATGAGTGTTTACTAGATATACAGATTGTTTTCTTGTTCATTCTTGTGTAATGCTAATTTGGCAATTACTCTGCTTGCATCTGATTTGAATACCACCACACCATAATTTTATCTTTTACTATAATAGACATCCATTTACTTAAAAAATAAATACTGCTTTTGGTCAGGTTAGTTCTGGTTCAAGCAATATCAGTCACACTTGCCTTATATAGTTCTTTCGCATGAGCTGGTCTGAAATAATCTAATCAGACTCATCCCTAAACTGGCACATAACAGAACTGCATAGCACCATACACTCTGCCAAACAGCCTTGTTTTGTAAATACATTCTGCAGTCAGAAAAGTACCGCAGCTCCTTGTGAAGAAAGAAATCAAGGACACAATGGAATTGTGCCCAAAATGATACAGAAAGTCAGATGTGATCTCAAGAAGGATATTTACTTCTTTCATTCCCAAGTTTTACCAGTCTCTGCTACGGTGCAATTGCCATTGTGCTCTTAATAAGATTTCTGCCAGCAGAGTTTGCAACATTCAGTGCTTAGTGATACTTTTATCTTCACAGGACAGTGCATTTGCTTTGGGTATGAAAAATTTCTTTAATTAGAAGCTGAACTATAATGTCAAACCACTTCTCTTAGAAAAGAGCAACCGAGGTGCTAAATACAGAACGTGCTCCACTGCATGTAAGCACTTAGTAGTCTTCTCAATTTATTTTCCAGAAATAAGAAATAAAAGCCTGCGCAATAAAATGATAGAGAGCCATTTGAGTAGGAATTGTAGCTCTCTAGTGATATTAACAACACATCTCACCTGCAGCTCCAGCTAATGCCCCTCCCCTGACAAACTCTTCTTACGCACAGGAAACTCAAATAACTACTAAACTGCAATAATACCAATTAGAATGTTATGCCTCCTTGTTTCATCTTCCTGAAATACTATTCATATCATGTTTTGTGCATAGAACAAAATACTTGCCCAAAAGGAAACAAATTAGACCACCTGCTTTGTAGAATGTCATTTTAATGTAAATCATTTACAACTGGCGGTGGAAAACAAGCAGGAGATCTAGACTAAAGAGCCAGAGTAAATTTTCACTGTTAAATCCATAGTTGCACTTTTTGTTTTGCGTGTCGTAGAAACTTCAGTATCCAGCAAACATAAGTCACAATGCATTTTCCTGAACTCTCTGGAAATTCATCTATATGTAACATTTCCTGTAGCTACTGAGTGAGCCTTGGGCTCTGTTTGACAGAGAAGGCAGTGACTGAAGCATACCTACAGGGATAGTTTCAGCTGTAGGCACACATAAAAGACAGCCTAGCACTGCTCAAAGCACACTTTATGTAAGGTCATCAACTTACCTGCCAAGGATAGTGATTTCACCTGTTGAGAATTCAAAAACTGTACTCCAGTCATAAGCGAGTAAATAAGTTATTCCTTGAGTGCTGTTTCTGCTATATTGATTTTATTCCAGGTGTTTTTAATGAATTAGGATTGAAATAACAGTAAGTGAGCAGTAAGAGCATAATATACAAATGCAACTAAATAGTCTGAAGACACTATAGAGGGTTTTTTTGGAAAATGTTTTTCAAATAAGAGATAACTTTTTTAGGCCTATGTAGTGCTTTGCTAAACTGAAAATGCATATATTAGAGCTACTAAAAACAGAATTTTCCTTCATTATTTCTAATCCTACAATCTATAATGGTTATTAAGATCACTCATGAAACTAATTTTCAGTACAAGCAGAAAATAGAGTAAAGAATACAAGCTTATTCTTCCATTCATATTTAAAAATCATATACATTGAGCTGGATAAAAACAGATCAGGTAAAATCTCTAAGTATTAACTTCAGTAATCTGTAGTCTGTAATTCTTCATTTGCTATTTTTCTTCAAGTTAAAAGAAAAAGATTTTGTACGTGAATTTCTGTTCAAAGAGCTGACTACCACAAACAAACCACTAAGCTAGTCCATGACTTCATACAGTGTAAACAGAACAACAAGATTTCTGATATAAACTCTTTACTAGGACTATCAAGTTGAAACAGTCCTTCAGTAAGGAGACTATTCGACCTTTCCCCTTCAGTGGTTCACACCATCAAATCCCATGTTTCCTACAAATGAATTAACAACAACAACAACATAGGTTTTTTGGGTTTTGTTTAGTAAGAAGAATTAGATCATAGAGTCAACTGACAATTAATATAGCACCTGGTTTTCAAAACTTTGATCAGTTTAATGAAGATTAAAAAAAAAAAAAAAGGACAGATTAGAGAAGCTAGTAACAAGCTGGGAAACTACGAGAATATCTATTTTGTTTGAACATATGAGGCTTATCTTACAGGGAAAACAAACATCGCTTTCTGAATGTGTTTTGGGAAAAGCATCTGTCAGTTTGAAAACAAAAATGTAACTATTTCTGATCTGTGAAAAGGAAGCAGTTAGTATTAGCTAATATTAGTTAATATGAAAGCAGTCCATAAAAAAGGAATGATTTTTTATGAAACAAATCTGTCTTGGTGATAAAAGTAAGGATTGTGAAGGTAGAACAATGTGATACTCTTTTCCTGAATCATGAAATAATTCTAAACAAGAGGAGGGGATTTTAAATCTACGATGAAAGATTTTTTTAAAAAAATGTATAAATAAGATCAGAGTGCCATTTAAATAAGAAAATTTTGGAGAATTAGTATGCTTCTGTTCTGTTCTACCTATTAAAGTGTTATAAAGAGCACATGTGTAACAAGTGTAATAAGTTAAGCAATTTTACTTATCAAAATAGCCAAAAATGAGAGAGAAAGAAATCTACCAGCCTGCTAGTACATGGTCTTCACTTTAACTTCCAATTTCTGGCTCATTTTAACATATTAAATTGCTTCAGGGCATCTGTAGGCAGTATAACAGAAAATGTTAACTCAAACTATTTCACTCTTCTCCTGTATCTTGAGGGCAAGTTTTGAAGTAGTTTCTGAATTAATCCGTGAACTTCAGTCCTGTTGTCAGTCATGAACTTCTGAAGTTTTTACTAAAGGTGTTGTTTTTCACACAGCTGTCCTCTTCTCACATGGTCTCAGGACAGGACTGAGGTGGAGTTGCTAAAGCAACTTCAAAAATTCTTCAGTAAATCACAAGTGCCAAAAATCTTGTTCCATAATGTTGGCTACATATTTATTCATAGATACACCCAATTATTCATTCAAAGCAAAGGGATCAACACAATAGAAACAAAACTTGTCTTCTCTCTCATTTTTCAAATAAGTAGATACAGGCAATTCTTACTCTGTGGTTTGTTTTATAATGATTTTTACTAAGCCATTTTATATGCAATTCTTTAAAATTATTTAACTGTTATAACATTATCTTCAAAACAGGCTATTGTTTGGCAGAAATTTTTATTGCTCTTAACATACAAGAATATTAAAAAAATAAAGGTAGAATTTCACCCAACAACATGTAGGAAGCCACTTAGTGCTTTACTTAGGAAGCCCATCTGAAACAGAACTAACCAGCATATGAATAAATATAAAATGATACCCTTGCCTGCTTGCAAAAGAAGAGGAAGCAATGCTCAGATAATTACAATTTCTGTTCCCCTGATAATGAGAAAAGGATATCATGGACCTCATCATAGGAAGTCTGCTTCCTAAAAATCAGAAGGTTAGCATCAGCAGCACTTCACTCTTTCAAATACTCAATAATATTTCATATTCCATCCTACGTGATACTCATGCCTAATATAAGCAGACTACAACTATTGCTTCATGCAGTTCCATGGGCCTCCCTACACAGAAGACTTTATACCTGCTGCCAGCAGCTTGTCTATGCTATTGTCACAGTCAGACCATTGCTCTTGCATAGGCCAGTACCACAAAGTATTCTGAGTTGCTGGTAGCACTAAACAAGGATACGCTACTGAAATGTTCATCTCCAGCGGAGCTACAACTGCGTACACAAATAAGTGCGTAGATAGGAGGGACAATAGCAAATATTGCCATTTAAGCAATAACCCTTTCTTACAGTTATAGGCAGAGGAGACAAGTTCCAAAGCATGTGCTGAATATTTGCTTGTTTTTGATGAAGGATAAAACCAGTTATTTCTCATTTAAAGATGTGTTTTTGTTAGAGAAAATAGTACATGACAGCAGTAATTTTGTTCCATATAAATGTGTTAACAAACTTTAACAGCAAGGAATAATTCACGAACATTCAACCTTTTGGCTTACCTGGGCCACATTTAATGAATGGAAATTGTATTGGGCTTCATATATGTATGTCACTCTAGAAGCAATTCTTCCTATTTATGTTCATGGAAACTACAACAGAGAGCACAATAACACTACTCAATAGAGCAAATTACCTACTGCAAAACACTATTTCTCAACTATGTTTCAATAGCCCTCGCCATTACCTATGCATTTTCACCAGTGATGAACAAGAGCCTGCATGCCATGCCCATAACAATCTGTACCAGCAAAGGTAACCTACTGTCACCACTGCTGGAAAACACCACCCACCTCCTCACATTCACTGTTTGGCCACCATAAACATTCAGCAAGCATTGGTGATGACAGTGGGTGCAATTTTTTTTCTGCATAGAAGAATTCAGTAACAAATCTTTCCTTCATACATACTTCCATGTCAGACATCGTTCTGTCAGTCAGTCCCTCTTCCGCCATCTGTCAAACATCAACATGTAATAGGTTATTGTTGGGAAGCTTCAACCTCTATTGCCATACCACAGACATCCACCTCTGACATCATAGGCCAACATAGTAAAATAGGAGGAATTACCTTCAGAACAGCCTTCATATATGTAGATACATATTAAATTGCATATACACATACAAATACCTAACAAAAACTTTTTCTTTAACATGAAAAATAACATATTTTTCTATTTATAACATACGCACTGTGTTTTCTGTTGTGACAAATGAAGTGACCAGGGATTCCAAAATTAATTAAAATCTATGTATTTTAAATAATCTGACGGTTTGAGGACATTCTCTAAATTCTAGGACTGAGTCAAATTATTCAAATCTGATTCTTTATTATTATTTGAGTCATTAATAACCAGAGGAGACTCATATTCACACATCCACTCTACAGCAGAAGAGTCTTTTCAAGTTTTGAACATTGTTTCTGTCATGGGAAGGAGTTGACAAAGCTTTGTACAGGCCATGAGGCTGTGTTATGTCTCCCCACCTTAGAGCCTTAGAGAGTTTTCTTATAAGACTAAGCATCTGGACTCTGATCCCTCCTAATGTGCTTTGTTCTGTGATAAATTAATCTGTTTAATTACTGTATGAAAAGCATCTTGCTTTCCTCTGCCTCTAAATACTAGCAGTGTACAAATGTAACAAATATTCAGCCCGTTCAGGCAGTAAAGAGATCAACGCTCTGGAATTCACCCACCTTATATTCACTCTGATTGCTCCAAGAAGAAGTAGTATCAGAAGTTTCCTCCCTTTTCAAAGATGCTGAGAAACACAATTACTCTTTTAATCTGGGTTTTGAACTGGGGAAACAAGGAAAAAACTAAGCAGTAAAATAACTGAAATGACACTGACAATGGAAAGTCATTGTCAATAAATTCAAATACAAATGCAGATAATTCAGAAGCTTTCAAATAGCTATCTGATTATAGGTTCAGTGGATGTTTATCTAGTAAATTGAGTGAGTGAATCCTCAGTATACTATGCTTTACTTAAACCTGTATTTATGGTGCGTTTCCTTCTCATGAAAGTTAAGTAACACATTTCAAATAGTATCTTAGTGAACCTAATCTGCAGGCTGTCAGTGAAATTAATATCAGACTGGAGTAACTTTTTATGACAAATTCATATCTATCTTAAGCCACTTAATCATTGACTGCCTGGAAATAGCAATTGGGTTGCTTAGTGGCACCAGTACAGTTTCTCAAAATGATCTCTAAAAGACCAAACTCCATCAGGAACTGAAAGAATAGGAAACAACTTGTAGACCTGAAAGGTCACACACCCTTATTCCAATACTCTGCAGGTATACCATAGTCACTACAGGGACTGAAATTTACTTCCACTAAAATACTTATGTTACAAGAAATTACTCCAAATTTAAATTTAGGTAACAGCTTCATCTTAAGAAGGGAATTTAAAACATTTCTTTGTAACCTAAGTGAAAGGTCTGTGGGTGGAACAGCCTCTGTGCAGTCAGTGGGGATTTCCTTCTGGAGGGTGATTCAGTCACTCCTAAGTGCTTTTTGAGGAGGGTGATTTCTGAGTTGATTCAGTGAAACTCATGAGGTGCAGACAAGATTAAAACACTGTTTTTCAGGTGCTTTCAGTCTGAAAAAAGATGAACACAAGAAGTATTCTTACATTTATGTAAATACATGTATACATGAAAAAGTATCAGCTATCGCACTTATTGAAGACAAGAGTTTTGATTAATATATTAAAAACAAATAAGGTAACATCATGCAATTATTTGCATTTCAGCCTTTTAAAATTAAGCATGGGATGAAACGTTGATTTATTTAAATCAAAGCTATGCTTTGAGAAGATTGTCTAACTTCACTCTTGACTCCAAAGCTCTTTGTAATTTCTTCATATTGATTTAACCTGTAAAGCCTTAGTTCTCACTTCGCACAGAAAACTGACAGCATTTGACATATCAAGAAAGCTTTTTCTCCCCCATTAAAATGCTCTGTTTTGAGGACTAGAAGTAGATGGGTGGTATCCTCCAGAGTTTGATCATTGTAATTATTCAAGCTGTCTGTACTACAGCTAAATATTAGAACAAAATGAAAATAATAATAATAATTTAAAAAACACACACTAAACCAATAAAAAAAACACACAAGTAACAGACTTCCTACATACCCAAATTCAAACTATAAAGCAAATCCATAGTTTCTCTACTCTGACTTGAATTCCTCTGCCTTCAATATCATTTCAGTGTCTGACACTGGAAGATAAGGCATACTTCAAATAAAAACAGTAGGGAATGTAGTCAAGAAGTGACATCATTAAAAGCTTAAGTTTAGCTCTTAATTAATTCTTCTTGATTTTTGTGTTATTACCTCAAGCAAGGAGGGAATTTGAGGGCTGAACAGCTGGAACTCTAGAGAATGCAGAACATCCTCGCATGGATTTTATTCTCTCTCACGTCTCATTTGTTCCCATGATAGGTCAATCCATCTTTAGATGCTTAGGGCCAAATCATATATATGGAAGTTTTTGAAGCAGATGATGCAAAGGAGAGGTAAGGAAAAGACTGGTGTAAACTTCTATTAGATTGATTCATAGCTGTAATACTGTCTGCAATTATAAAGTGTACAATCAATGCTGGACAATTCATGTTGCTATGGTACTATTTTTTTGAAGGGCAAAAGCTGAGAGGAAGGGTTGACAAACAAAATTATTAATCTGCAAGAAACATAAGGTGTAAAAGGCAGCATCTGATACACTGTATTAAGGAGTCTAAGTTTTGTCTGAGAAGTTAAAGCACTATCTCCTTCAGCAAATTATCCCCACTTTCCCCACTGGTGATTATTGTCCTCTCAGGTCTGCTGGCATCATCATACATGCATCTTTCTATAACATTTCTGTCAAATAGGAAAAAAAAAGTATCAATCTTCCTCTTTAAAGCATTTAGATTTACACAGATTGCTTTGACAGAATGAGGCTATATCAACAACATATGCAGTTCTGTTGACAGATTTGAGGAGGCAGGGAATATTGGTGACGAAGAAGGTGCAAGGAGGTGCAGGCAACAGTATCTTAGGCTGCCACAATACAGCTGCAATAAAAAGGTCCTCTGTAAACACAGCCAAAGAGGCAGCACCACCTTCCCATCTTCATCAATGACATCAACGGGGGGATGGAGTGCACTTCAGCAGGTTTATAAATGACACTAAGCTGTGTGGTGTGGTCAGCACACCCAAGGGACATGATGCCATCCAGATATACTTAGGCTCAAGCAGTAGGCACAGACGAAATTCATGAGGTTCAAGAAATCCAAGTGCAAGGTCTTACACCTGGCAACCCCCACTATCAGTACAAGCTGGAAGATGTCTTCCAAAAAGGTCTTGGGGGTAGTGATGGATGGGAAGCTGGATGTGATCCAACCATGCGCCCTTGCAGCTCAGAAGGCCAACTACTTTGATCTACCATCTCATGCAATGGCAACAAACTTACCAAGCCTGTAAGATAAAAGTATCCTCTGCAGTTCTCACTAAAGTCTTGTAGCTACCACTCATGGTACATTAGCCATAAAATAGAGAATCCTTAACGTTGTCTTGTTACTGCTGCCAGCTCCCCAGCAGCTAATGGTCCTGTATTGAAATCCTATATGAAGTTGCAGCCTTATATTAAGTGGTGTTGTTATTTGGCCATTCAATAATGTGATCTTGAAATATATTTTTCAGAACAGAATATTAAGTGAAACCAGCTAGAAGATGCTCAGAGGATAATACATATGATCAAAAGAAAATGTTCAGTAGTTACCACAAGAGTAGTTTCACATCCACGTAAAAATATGTGGCAAAAATTATCAACATGATTTACTCCTTTCTTGTTCTAATAGCAGAATATTTTAAAATGAAGGCAGCAGGCTGTAGAATATTTCAAAAGCATAAACAACTTCTATAATGAGGCCTTGTCCACATTAGGTACAACATTGTTTAAGCAATCCAGTTTACAGAAATGACCCTGATTATGCTATAACACAGAGACATTCTATGCTCCATTAAATGTATTGCTCTTATGTTACAATCTTAAACAAGTTTAATAAACTGAGTTTCTAAAACTGAAGTACAGTATGCCTAAAGTAAACTGGAACTCAAGTCTTGCAAGTGAGGAAACGAAAATTTCATCAGAATCAAATCAGTTAATTGTCAGAAAAAAAAATCTTATTACCATTCATGTTATTACTGTAACTCTGAAGACCTTTTTCTAACAAATATTTCTAAGGCTAAACAGGAAAGGGAAAACAGATGATTCACAGAAGTTCATAATCTTTTGAAGAACTGAATATTTTGCTTCTTACAAAGGAACAGATTTGTACTGGATTTTCTCAGGTGAACTGAAGGCTCAAAATGCCTAATTAATGGCTTTCCACTAATGCAGAGTCCACCATCATTCCTGTCCTCCATTTAAGTAAGATTGTTACCTGAGAGAAATTATTGACAGTTGTCATTCAAATGTAGGTAGTTATAAGCCTACCTCCCTCTTGACCTCTGGGTTTTCTCCAGGTATCCATCAGCTGCAGATAAAAGTTCCATGAAGTTCCACCTGTGTCCTGGCCATCATCTGAGCCTGTACTGCCTTACTTTAAGATTTATTCAATTTTTCTGCCTTTATTCCCCCAGGAGACTCCCTAGAGTCACATGTAATTAAGAGAGTATTTAAACTTAACATGTCAAGCTTTTCAGCTGTACGTTGAACTGACTTTGCTTGTAGAATTAAAATATGAAGGGCTCAACAATAAACTGACTTAAACTGCTGAATTGCATTTCAGGTAGAAAACGTTGACAGAGTTTGTCAGGAAAACCAATGCTACTTCTCCAAAATCTGCTCTACCAATTTGAATAGTGTTTTTATTTCCAACTAGTTATTTTGTTAAAGCTGTATAGAATTCCTAAACACAGTGGTTGGAGCATGTATTTCTTTTTTTTTTTACTACAAAGGCTTATGACTTATCTGATTATCACCCAGCAGTTCATGTTTTGCAGTTCAGTGTGTGGTCTGTTTATATGTCTCAGCAAGACCAGAGTTAGCAAATCAGTTTCTTACAGTAGATAGCATAATGCTTGTCTCAGTATGGCCCTGCGATTTATCAGAAATAAAGCATGTAATAAATGTAGGAAGTTGCTTATATTCAGAACTTCACATCAAACCAGTTGCAAGGATTTCAATCCCACTGGAAAAGTTCAACAACAACTTCACTGGGGAAGACTTGGAAAGACTTTGGACTGGAAGCTGATAAAGAACAAGATCCTCAGTGAAGGTCCCCTATCTTACCAGGCTTCTCAGACTTAATAATCATATCCCTGTCCACCACAGATCAACCCAGACCATAAACTGACTATCTTCTTCTTAAAATCTACCAGATCTTTTGGCAGTCCCTCTTGGTAAGTCTAAATCAATTAGGATTGTGGCTGTTTTCTGGACTGCTTCTGAAAAAAGCAGTATAATTTCAGCTGTATATCAAGTCAGGATGCATCCTCACCTGATGGCTCCAACCCAACAGCAGAAACTTCCTGCCTCATGCAGGCTGCCATCACCTTCCTGTGGTAAAGCCTGTGATGAGACAAGGTCAAAATCATAAGACTCATTTATCATTTGGGATTTGATATCCAGTGTAGTTGTTCAAAGCTGGTACTAAGATATGAATGTATGCCCAGCCAGCTACAGCTTTGGTCTCTTAAGTTCTTTAATGTGTTTTCGTAAACTATTTTCTAAAAGCTTTTTACTATGCTACTAAAAATGAAATAGTCTCCTTTATTTCCAGATTTACACTTCACAAAATAAAAACAAAACAAAACAGGAAGCTTTAACACATCTGAATAGTGTAACAGTTTCCTGTTAAGCTGCAGAGTTAGTTTCACACTCAGAGACAACTAATAACTATTCCCATGGGAATAGTTTGGCTAAAGTGTTTATACATAAAAGCCTGAGAAATAGCTCACAAACATATTAATCAAAATTATTCATGTACTAAATGAATTTTGTGGCAATTTTCAAATCTATAACTCAATTTTAATTTCTCAATTTCAAGTTACTGTGCCATCAATGTGAAATTTACTTTTTGATTCAAGCAAAAATTAATGATCTCCTTTCCCATCTCTCAGAGTTGATTTGACAGGTTTGGTTTCCTTTGAATGTATATAAGAATTTATATGCAGGTTTAGAAGGGCCTTTAATGTATGCACATGTATCCAAAGGAATAATTGAGAAGTACTATGAAGAAAGATGTGTGCTGCATCACTCTTTTCAACGTTCTGCAGTACTTTATATCCAGGGATCTTAATATCTAAGTAAAATGTTTTCTCTTGAAAAGGTCAGGAGACAAACACAAGGAGGTTGAACAAGATCAGTATCAAGACTAGAAGTCACCAAGCCTGGATTGTCTTATAATGATTAAATCTTTCTGTCATATGCAGTCATACTTCAATTCCCAGTTTGTTCAGAAAATCACATAGATTCAAGGAAAAAGTAGGCAGTAGTTAATAGAATTAACTGACATAGTTTAACATAGTTAATAGAAATTACAGCAGTTAAAAATGCTTTCCTTCTATGTTTTTTTTTTTTTTTTTTTTTTTTTGGGGGGGGGGGGGGTTCTTTTTTTTAAAAAAAAAAAAGTTTTGTGTGCCAAATGTATTAAAATATGGTAGTACATAAGCACTATATTATACATTGTCTTAAGAATCATTATTTCCTTTAGAATTCCCTTAAATAGTACTATTTAATAGGAAATACTGGACTAAAAGAACTGATATCTACATTTTTGTGTCCAGAATTAAAATACTCTGGGTAAATTGTGTTATTTAGCTGAGAGAATGGAGCTAGGGAATTGAGAAGAAAAAAAAAGAGAATTCAGCTAGAGGCAGTAGACATGAAATAGTTCATCATAATTGTGAAGTTGTAGTCTAAAGAGATGCTGGCAAGACAGTGACATTCAAAATGTGAAATATCTGCCTTCAGCCCTTAAAAGCTGAAAACACAGAAAGAGTTACTGTTGTTGTATATGCACACTGTTTTTGTCTGTGTTGAATCGATGCAGTTTTGGATATTTTTCATATTTTAATTTTTTTTTTTATTTTAGTTAACCTTAAATCACAAATACATCTGAAACCTACTAAAGTAAAAATACTTGTTTTAAAAACTTGTCTTTGATTTATAAAATAGAGACAGTGAGCTAATGAACTATCATTCAGTAATTATGTTTTACAATTTAGGAGAAGAATTACAACAGTTTATACACATGCTAAATCTTTGCTGAAGATATATTAATATATTTTGGTATATTTAGTGTATTTATCAAAATAAAGATGTTCCTAGATTGATAGATAACACGTCAAAGTTTGTGACTCAGTTTCACAAATATCGGCTTTCACCTTATCTCCACCTCAGTTCTCCCTTCCATAGATATGGACAATATAGAGATATGATATGAGTTCTTGAAATTCATATCACTTACTTGCTTGAAGAATAGGTTAAATGTCATTCTAGTCTCATAAAGTCTAGAGCATGCCTCTGAAGAAGGACAGTATGTGAGAAGCCACTTCCCACTGCCTTTCTCGCCTTGCATAAGAAAGAGGCAGATTTCCCACAGACAATGCAACTGATAAAAAAAAAAAAAAAAAAAAAAAAAAAAAAAAAAAAATTAAATACAAAAAAAACAAGCAACACACGCGGGGGGGGGGGGGGGGGGGGGTGGGGGGGGGGGGGGGGGG